CTACCACCCTGGAATCTCCTCAGCACAAGTAAGCAGCACTTCTCTTGCTCTGACACATGTTCTCAGTATCTGCTTCCTTAGTATTTCTTGCACTCCACTAACCACTCAGCCATCAGAGACCTGTTTTCTCATTATACCATTCTGATGGGAGAGCTCATTGAGAGACACTTTTCCTATGTAATAAGGCTTTTTTGCTGTTTCCTGCCTTTCATTACATTCTTGCCTGATGTTTATATTTTGATTGGCCACGATTACTGTGCCTTCTAACCTTGCCAGCAACTTCTCATACTATTATTTTTAAAGCTCTTTAATTTCCCCAAATTAGACGATCTCTTATGAATCCTTCTCTGATGATAATCATAAAATTCTACTTACATTAACTAATGTCCTCACAAAGATTTCCATGCTTTCTTGTCTCTCCTGAACTCCAAGATAATCAACAGCCTTTGGTGTACAAGAATCACTTAAAGAAGTGCTTGTGAAGCCTTTTTAAATGGATACAAGTTATTTGGGTGCCTTCTTCAGTGAAGATGAATGATTTTTGAACCCTTCAGCCTCTGTGCAGTGCATTTGTTAACCAGCCAAACCATTTCATGTAAGCTTCATTGTCCAGCCCTCACAGCACAGAAACCAGCAGACTGCTCCAGCATGCAGCCCAGCTGGAGATCAAATCAACCCATGATCTGTGGTCACCTGGAGGCCCACACACTCTAAGGAGTCCACTAAAGATGAATAAATGCATGCCTATTATCAGCAAGGTTCAATACCTGCTGAAATCATCAGCACCATCATAGGCAAATCTGAAGGGTTCCACAACTAAGCCTGAAAATCACTCAAATTAAACTGAAAATTAAGAGTGCTATCCAGAGGATTTCTTGTTACTATTTATGCTTATTCCACAGTTAGCTAATCCTACTAACAGGAGCAAAAGAAAAATTATCACAAAGTGATCAATGCTTAGTACCAAAGATGGACACCAGGAACCTGAGCACAGCTATGGACACAGCTTCATTCTTCAAGATCCCACTCAAAAACCAGCCACAACTGAAGAAATTTCTCTTTCCATTCTCCATTCTTTTCCATTCTTCACCCCTAAATCTCCAGGTGAGAGATGCTTAAGTTACTATTGGCAATACTAGCACTGGATCTTTATCTATGGCCTGTTCCCAAGTCCAAGTAAAGCATCCAAAACCATCTCCCAACAATTAAGCAATCTTAAAGCAGAAGGTGCCTATAGTTTTAGCAGAAAGCTTACTTGAGTGCCTAAGCTTTTCTTACTTCACAGACCAGAGATGGCCGACATATTGCCTGAAGGGCATAACAAGACACTATTCTTCCACATAGGTCATTTATGCCCATCAAGGAAACATGTCCAAACTCCTTCAGTATCCGCTAAGCGCACTATAAGCAGAAAAGTTAATAGAAAACAGTGCCATTTCCAAGGAACATATTTCCCTCAACTGTTCAGACTTTTTCTTTTCTAAAATCAAAGCACTATCAACATCAGAAACTGTCTTGGGAGCTGTGGACACAATCTTAGATGTTCAGTGGTCCCACTTCCAAATTACCATGTCAGTTAGAACAAGGGCAACTTGCCAGCAGATGGGAAGTGGGGTTTGAAGCAGTGCAATGAGCTGCATTGCAGAGCTCCTGCTTTCCAGGAAAGTGCTCCCAGCCAGTACATTATTACACAACAGCTGGGTAGCAGAAGTTTTCATTTCTCAACAAGAATGGTAGAAACCTGTTTTCTCACAGCCAGTTTTATAAGTCTCCATGCCTGTAGGACAACTGGGCACCAAGCTGAGGTTACAGCTTCTGGAACTCAAGTTCCTGCAGGCACTTGGCAATAAAGCTAGTGAATTTATCCACTCCCACATCCAGCAGAGTGAATCCCGGAGCATCTCCCTCACAAACATTTTCCAGATAGCTGCTGTGGCCATCACACACTGCTGGCTGCGGCAAGTCATTTTCTTCAGCACTTCATTCTCCTCCATTCACTCCATACAGCATGCAAACATTGCTGATTCTTATTCTGGAGTCAGGTATCTAACTTGCAACACTGTGACACTGTATTAATGTGTTTTATTGTTGGACTAGGTGACCTTTAAAGGTTCCTTCTAACCCAAGTCATTCTATGATTCAGTATAGAAGGAAAACAATATAAACCCTAAAACTCCTCACCATCCATCTTACTGCCCTGTTCTGGCCTCTGGGACACCCTATAGACTTAACCAATCTTCTGATGCAGTTTAGGAAGTAACATCTAAACAGTCACAGCAGCTAAGGATCGTTGGATGCTAATAAATAAGACTGGTCCAGTGATGAAGAACTCAAGCAGATCGACTTCCATTCTCTTTTTAACTGCAGACATCTCCTATAACTATAGCAAATAAATCACTCAGGAATAGATTTTTCTCATGAGGCATTTAGATGGGCAAGATGAAAACGTGATGGATTTTCAAAACTACCTCTTTCTAAAGCTTGAGGCTCCTATTGGGTCATTTTCCTCTGGAATTAAGAGTTTGCCTAACTCTTAATATCCAGCCATACCCCCTTGCAGCTTTAAATTCAAAATACAAAAAAAGGAGTACTTTCAGGAAATAGAAGTTTGCAGAAGCACTAAGAAAGCCTTAGAAACATTTTTAAATGTTCTCTCCCTTGCACAGGTGTTTCCATGGCTAAAAACCATCAAAAGGCTTTAAGTCTTCTAATGACATACTAATCTTCTTGAAGGGTCCTACTCTCCAGGCCCACAAACAGGACTGTCTGTAGCTCATGTGCAAAACAGAAGGAAGCGCTCAAATTTTAAGCTGCCAGTTATCGACCAGTAATCCGAGAGGCTTTGTCTACAGCTGATGCCTTACAAGCCCAGTAATTCTTCTTTCACTAGACTACTTTTCCCAAAATACATCCTAATGCTCCCCTCACCAAGGGAAATTAAAATAGCAAGATCCTGACCACAGGGCCTTATGGGAAAAGGGGTTCAGCTGTGAACTTCTGCCAGTAGTGAAATGCAATGCAAAGCACAAACTACACTTCCCAGGAGACACCATGAGAGTATTTTTGGCTAAACTCTTTTGGTTTTCAGCCAAAATACTTTGACAAAAGAACTGAACTACTCTGGCAAACTGACACTTTTCTTTAAAAAGCTACTCTGCCAAAAGCCTTCCCACTTCAAAGGATTCTCGTTCAAGAGTTTTTGGACAGCCCTGAAGATGACTAAATAAGAGCTATAGAAAGAGTGTAAAATCACTCAAAAGTAATCAAAAAAAACCAGCATTCAACATAATGTACAATCTGTAAATTACATAGTAGATTTCTGCTGCTTCTACAGTGCAACTCTCTGCTGACTTTAGGACTATGCCATGTTTAAAATGCTGTTTTTAACTATGAATTTAAGTTAGATAGTTTAGATTGGATATAAGGAGGAAATTCTTTCCGGATAGGGTGGTGAGGCACTGGAATAGGTTGCCCAGGGAGGTTGTGAATGCTTCATCCCTGGCAGTATTCAAGACCAGGTTGGACAAGGCCTTGGGTGATATGGTTTACAGTGAGGTGTCCCTGCCCATAGCAGGGGGGTTGGAACTTGATGATCTTAAGGTCCTTTCCAACCCTAACTATTCTATGATTCTGTGATTTTATTAACTTAAAAAATATTTTCATTTTTAACAAATACATCTAAATTTTCTGAATGACAGCCCAAGCATTTTTTAAAGGAATACTCAACTTGGAAGTATTACTTCTTGCCCATACATCTCCATACCTTATTTATGCAGCATCAGTAGCATAATAAAATTTTAGGGATATGTTTAATGAGTTGCCACAGACTAAAAGATCCCAAAATCATTGTTATAAGTGAGACCCTTGTATCAGTGAGTTTTTTATATTCTTTGATCACTATGATGCTTTCAAGAATTACAATCATGCAAACAATCACACAGATATGAAACACAAAATACCTCCACTACAGAGAGAGAGAAGTACAGGGCAATAGTTTCTACATTTGCTGTATTTTTAAAATCTTACAGCACCCAAGGATCAAAGTTGTAGTATTTCCAGTCCAGAGGCTCCTGCTGTTTCACTGTATGGCAAGGGGAGGTGGGTATTTCAGTTCTCCACAGTGATTTGACTTTTTCTAGGAAACAATCCCCCTCCTAAATTTCACTGTCTATATCAAACACACATGTACGTATGCACAGAAGTCAGAAGGCAAACTCACAGGTTTTTTTCATACCTTATGACTGAAAAGCAGGCATGTGGCCTTCTGGTTACTAGAGAACAGCTTACACTCATACTCCAGCTCATTTAGACCATGATTTTAGATCTTTACACATCCTTAAATTTCTTTAGGCATTCCTGCATACTACTACTCCCAACCTGATTAGGTTTTCACCGAGTTTGTTCTTAATTATCCAGTGGCGTATTTTCAGCCCTTACTAGATCTTCTGTCATATGTTTCACTTCGGCAATATCAGTCATAACTCCCTGCTTTGCAGCTGTATTAAAAGCTCAATTCTAAAGTAGAAAACAGCCAGATGCTTAGGAATAAAAGTAGCAGAATAGAGAAAAGCATTTTGCATTTAAAAAAATGAACTGATACTGATTACCTGTTATTGGGAATTGCAATCCATTAATGAACTGGATTAATAATTATGAACTGAGTAATAATGAACTGCAGTCAAGTTTCAGCTGAAGGGAAAGTTAAAATTTATATATTGTTTTGTCCTTTCCTGCACAAAGGAAAGCGAGCTCTTCCAATGGCATTTATACATTTTAAATACAAACCCTCCACTAGACAGGAATTCAGTGACCATGGGCGATTCCCAACAGAAAGGTCCAATGTTAACCCATAGAATTGAATGAGCTCTTATTTTCCCTACCTTCCCCTACTATTTGGGGATCATCAATCATATTCTGCTATTTACAAGGCAGCCCCCTAACAAACACCCAGGCTTTTTCCTCTACGTGCTTCTAAAGAGCAAAAGTAAAAAGTTTCTTACCTTATGGTTCCTGAGAAAACGGGAACTGCAGAACGCTCTGTGCCTGCAGGGACACTGCACAGATGAACCTCATTGCTGCTGTTTACAGAAGTCTGACAGTTTTTAATTTGAAAAGAGGTTGTCTTTTGCTTTTCGACAGTTCAACAAATCAGACAAAACAGTTGCAAGTGTTATCTGTAAACAGCTTCCTGTTTGAAATAGATCAGCTGTCCTGCAGGACAATAATTAGGAAAGAAGTGTGGGAAAGCTGAAGAGGTCCATGATGTAAGCCTTTTATTTTGGGAATGTACTTTTTTGGGAATGCACTCTTACTCTCCCCTCCTCCTCTCTAGCAGAGAACCCCTTTTAACCATTTCCATCTATTCAGCTCTAAGCCATGCACACACACTGCCCCAGCACAGCACTTTCCTCACTTTGCTTCAGTGGATATAAAAACACATGAAATGTGGCACCAAACATGAACATCTTATGCAGATAATTAACACATTTTCCTCTTCTCTCCATTCTTGCAATTGGCTGCAGCATTCCTGAGTAAACACGGAACTATTTGAGAGCCAAGTCTCAAAACTCCACAGTAACAAAAACGCTAAATTATCCACATGGCAGGCTGCTTCACAAAATGTTGGGGTTTGGTTTTTTTTTTGGTTGGTTGGTTTTTCTAACAACTTGCAGTATCACCTTTTGTGTCAATAGGAAGGGAAAAAGAGGAGGTAGAAATCGTTCACTAGCTCCCAGATAGTTGTACAGTTGTGGTTTTCATCTTAAACAGCTAGACTAGTTTGAACGCTGAGTAAACCACAGTACTCCACATACATTAGGGCAGGAAAAGAATGATGCCAGCTAATGGTGAGAAGCAGAATTCTGAGAACACCTCCTTCTGTTGTAGCAGTTTAACAGATATTACTGGCTTCACCCTCAACTTCCAGGGCAAATACACAGTACCACTTATGACTACACCAATTAATACACTCTAATGAAACAGCTGCTATATTTGCAAGGCTGTAGCTCTGATAAGCTGCTTCTACACAAAAGGCTTGTAAACCATCCATCCCCCCACCCCTACTCACACCAGTGTTCCTCCTCCAAGTTTCCTCAGCTAAGATTTGAGGGGTCTTGTTGTAAGTAAGCACCCAGCAGGACGTGAGCCTGGGTCACATACTCCGGTCTGTGACTTCTCACTGGAAGATGGACAGTAGCAGGAGGCTCCTTTCCATCTTCCACAGTCCCAAAAAAGTATCAGAACACAAAAAAGATTTTAGACTGAGGGAAACAGAGAAAGTAATAGGATCATGTGTATGTGTTCACTTCTTTACCACCTACTGATCCGCTTTTGTGGGAGGTGTAGGTCCACTTCACTGCATGTTCCATGCTGTGGTGGGGGTTGCAATACAAGGTGATGACACACGGTACTGATGCACTCTTTTACTGCTTTGGCATATGTCATATCCCCTCTCTCCCATCACACCTCTCCCCAGCCCTGGGGCGTGCAGCAACCTCCTTCCCACCACAGCTCCTGCTCTGCCACCCCACAGCACTCCACATATTGAGCAGCTTTTCTGAGCAAGAAGATGAAAACAGGTACTGCAGGTATCACAGCTTTGCATTATGGACTACCTTCATAAAGGCAAACCTCTCCTAAACCACCCTGTTTCCACATTGGGCTGGAACATGCTATGAACTGCTGCATCTTAACACACACCAAATGGTCATAAAAAGTTAAGAACTGGTGATCACTTCCAGATTACGTAAGTAAGGACAACATGAACATAACTGTGTCACGACCACACAACGCTGATTTGGAAGTTCACTTTTATGCGCACAAACCCCATTAGTTCAGCGGGAGCAGAATGCAATCAGCAGGATTGGGCCCTTGCAGCATTCTGTTGGCAGCAACTTGCCAAGACAAACGTTTGATGTAAAGAATGCAGCAAAGTGACTGCAGTCCAAGCCTTTGAAGATCATATTACGATGGCAAAGGAAACATCCATTTACATACATATCTACTCTCCCTGTAAACACAGGCAAATAACTTTGAGGCCAGAAACAGAATTCAAGGAGAAAGAGAGCCATTTCAGGGAAAGTTAGTAGAAAAGGTAGGATTAAACACTGGGGGAAAAGAAAAAATAAACATAAATGGCCAGAGTACAAACCAAACCAAACAGCAAACACTAGAAATGCAGTGAAAGTGCTTTCCCTAGGAAAGGAAAAAATAGGCAACTACTTGGTTTTGTTTCATCTAAAGACAGGAAAGGGTGCAGACCCCTTCACCTACCCAGAAAGCCAACTGTATAACCACACAGTGCATCATCTAAATTGGGCTACTACCTGCAATCTGGGATACCAACACATTGAGTACAGCTTAAACCATCATCAGGCCACAAGAGCTGTTGGTTATTAAGTTAATTTTGCATTTTATATGCCTGAGAAACTGTAACACTTCAAGAGCTGATTCAGAAGTGTTTCAGCCACCCTTGCTGAATTGGGATGCAAGGATGGCTGACCTATACCCTTCAGAGTCTAGGGTATACAGCAAGATACAACAGCTACCTCAGGCTGACACACAACCCAACATTCACCCTGCCCTTAGGGTCAGATCAAACACCATGTTGACACAACTATAGGTAAGCCCTGGACTGAAACCAACCAAAACCACAAATAAAAGTGACAAGTCATCTGTTAGAGAACAGGGCAGGGTGTGTTATATTTTAGAAGCTTTCAGGCATTTTTTTCTACTCTTTCCATAGTCAGTTGACATTATCTTTGTGTCTGTGAAAGGATTAAACATAAAAAAACAATGGCTATTTAAAAATGCTGTTCTTACAAGAAGATGACAAGGCCCTAATTCTCCCCTTGCTCTGGCAAAACATCCAATGTTAGCAGCAGCATTTCCAATCAGATTTTCACAGGGGATTAAAACTGCCAGTATCCAAACTCATTAATTAGTAAGTCAGTATCTGAGCTCAATTGCTGGAACTCAGCTTATTGCAGACCATCACAAATGCTGTTCAAGTTCTTGAAAGCGGAGGCTTCCTCACTAACCATTCCCTGTAAGCCTCCCAAGGCACAATCCCAAAACAGATAACGAGGTACAGCAAACGCATGATTCCTTCATAGTATGGATCTGGATGCTGGCATCCTGAGTGCATCCCCTCCTCTGCTCCCAACAATAATGTTAATGCTGTGTCCCATTCGCTTTGGCTTCACCAAGCAATAACTGTTTAGCCAAAAAAAAAGGAATTTTATTCAACATCAAGATATGCCTGGTAAAAAACAGCCTGTAGAGCTGCCCCCCATGAAGCCATGTGAACCTCATCGCCTTAGCGCAGCCCCAGAGGGCACTATCCTCACCACCCCTTCTGTGCAATATATGTGATGGACGCTGGAAAGGTCAGTGCAGAAGCAGCAACATAGGTTAACTCTGCAGCTGTGTAAGACCCATTCATTAGTGGTGTCGATGTTTTTTCCACAAAATTCCTGAGCAGCATTCACTGCAGCAGTAGTGCTTTTTCTGTTACTTCCCATCTCTAAAATTAGAATAACCTCTTCAGTGCCTGGTTTTAATTCTATCTTTGCTGCTCCAGGGGCAGATCAATACTGAGCAAGACATGGCAGCACAGTACCCAATAATGAAAAGCATTACCTGCTAATCATTTAGCAAAACTGGGCAGCAACTGCTCGTTGCTAAGCTTAAGAATGATCTTCCTGAAAAAAAAAAGAAAGAATGACAGTAACTGCAGGGTAAAGGAGGGGATACCCTGGTCTTGCAGACTAACAAATCCAACAAACTTTCTCCTCTTGATCACCAGACATAAGTAAAATCCTCTAAATGTAGCTCTCTGCAGGGAACAGAGCACGAGTACAAAGAGATGCTTGTGTCCCTTCTTGCTCTTAGCAGAACACAGGCTTTCCACATGAGCACTTTGAAGGTAGGCAGTAAGAGACACAGCAAAGATACTTCGTTAAAGCAGCCAACCATTCACACTGATCAATGCTCCGGTCAGGCCCATACGGAGAACAGGAAAACTCACTCCCCTCAACCTAACCACAAGACTTCTTTTTATGAGACTTCATGACTTTCTGTAATCAATATATTTTCTCCTGTTGCTCTGATACACCTCTAGAGACCTAGGAAGCACATCCCATGAACAGAGAAAGGTCTAGCTTTTCAGCATGGCTCTGGCTTTCAGGTATTACAGAGACCCAAACTCAGGCCTCCCACTTACAAAATTTACTAAAAACAGAGGCATAGGAAAGATATTTCAGTTCACGATGCAGGAGTGATAGTATTTCCTTTAATACTGCCTAGTGTGAGGATCACTACATTCAAACTCTCTAGATGCTCCCACTTACACTCAAAAGGGGCTAACAAGACATGATGTTATCATGCATCAAATTATCACATTAATATAAGATAGGTCAAACACCACCCAGAACTTCAAGCAAGTTCTGCCACACTAGAATTCTGCTACACAAATCAACACACCTTTTCAAAGGGAAATCAACAGGGAGCAGCCTTCCTCACAAACAAAAATATCTGAAAACATCCGTAAAAGGATTTGTATGGAAAAAACACTGAAAGCTATAATATCAGATGCAAGTCTCAAGAGTGCCTAATGGATATAAAGCCCTTGCTTCTCATTTTGGGCTACTACACGAAATAATCAGGTATTTTATACTCTTCAGTATGTGAGTTTCTTCACATTGACTCTAACCATGTACTACTGCTGCACAAGGTCTTGGTACAGAATACACCATTGCTTTTCTGCACAGACCATCTGATAATCTCCTGAGGAATCATGAGTTCAGAGTTCAACCGTGCCAGTGCATGAAAGGTATATGGAAAGTCTAGCATCATCTCATACAGGGTCTGTTTGGGTTAAGGTAACATTTGACACCAGTATGCCACCAGCCTCATTAGCACTTGAACCAGATGGCATCAACTGACTTTCCAGATTGCAAGCATTCACTTGATATGCTTGTCAAGGGACAGTGAGAGTTGTCTGACTGTATCACTGACACTAGCACACAAGGGAGGTCATGGATAAAAGTAAATTAGGTCTAAAGCCTTTTGCAAAGCACACAGCCTGGTATTTCTATGCCATGGAAATGCACTTTTACTTACAGCTCAGTTGATGTAAGAACCATAAATGGCTTTGACAACATTATCCTTTCACTCAAAGAATTTGCTTATGGGGCCATCCCAGGCTTTGCATTTCACATAGTTCAAAGGGCTTGCAACAAGAGCCAAGAAAAATCTATAGCCAGCTGGTAATGCCTGGGAACATTTGCAATCTTTTCATTCAGTTTAATAGATTTCTCCTCCCCTGCTTATTACCCCTTCCCAGTGCTTTAAAACTAGAAACATTACTGACATTTTTATTGCTATGAAGATATCAAACCTGAATTACATTTCACCATTAAAAAGGAAAGAGTCTACTCAAGCCTGCTGCCTGAGCATCACTTCTTGCAGATGTTACACAGCCCCAGCAGACTCACCAACCTCTAACTAAAGGTAGTTAACATCTGTTAAGTCCCCAAACACTCCCCAGACTGCTTCTTCCAACCCACATCAGCAAACACCTATTTGCACAGACTACCATCTGGGACTGCTGTACCGGGAAGCCTAGTAACATGTCTGACTTTAGAATTATTTGGGTGAGACTGCGGGGAGGAGGGGGTGGTATTTCCAACGTCAGTAGTACCAATTTTAACATGGAAAACTTGAATTCTAAAGTCCTGGCATTCCTCCTGTAAGATGTTTTGTGACTACTCTTCAACGCAAGCAGACAGGACTTGGGGTTATTCTATACCTACAACTCCCCTCATCTAATTCTAATAGAAGTTGATAAATTCACTTTTGCTGAATCATCCAAAACGAACAACAAAT